ATCAATGCTTTTATTACCTGAGATGATCTAATCTGCTTTAATTTGTTTAATTTTATTTAAAGATAGGTTTCAGCTAGTGGCAGGGTTTTATCCATTTTATGGTATTTTCGTGTTGTATTTTGTACTATTCGTTATATGTTATTTTAACAAGTTGTGAACTGCCCAGAGAGTGAATGCACTATGAATTGGTGTAAAAGTTGAAATAATAAATAAAATGGCACGAGGGAAGTTCAGCTGAATGGTGTTTTTAGTGCGATGTGAAAGCACAGATACTTAGTCGAGAAGATTTTTATGAGGACAAATGGGATAGAGATTATTAAGAACTTTGCATAATAAAAGATGTATTTTCGATGTGTAAAGGCAATGTGACTGGTTCTGTATATTTGGGTCTCATTGTCAGGAAAACAAGGCAAATGGAAACAATACCTCTTAACTTCCATTTGTATTTCATTCCCTACCGTGGTTACCCAGAAGCCAATTAATATCCCAGATTTTGAGTACACCAGAAAACTACAGTAGATGATAATGACATGATGTGCAAGTTTTCCAGGTTTTTCTGGAACAAAAATCACCTGCCCTACCTGTTGGTTATCTAGACTTCCAGATCCAAATCTTTAAAATAACAAGCAACTGACATTTAATATTGGAACAAAACCAAGAGAAGTCAGTTGTCTGAGCTGACAGGAGGAACTGTCCAAGATTAGACCAAATGGCCATCTAGTCAAGCATCCTTATCAAGGCCACAAGCAGGAACTAAAGTCAATTGATTCCCTTCCTATCACCAACATCTAATATTAAGAGGTATATGGCACCTGAATTGGTAGACTATATATTTTTTTAAAAAAGGCAAAGTGTGCTTCTTATATGCTTTTTTTTTTAAAAAAAAGGCAAAGTGTGCTTCTTATATGCTGCCCCATAGCGCTTAAAGTACTCTCTGGGCAGTTTACAATTTTTTAATTATACAGTACAGGCTACACATTGTGACCCCAGCAATCTGGGTATTCATTTTAACAATCTCAGAGGGTTGGAAGGCTGTGTCTGCCTCAAGCTGGCTGTCAGAATCCGTTGGTATCAAACACTGACTGTGAGCAGAGTTTTGGCCTCAATACTAGTTTAACCACTGTGCCACAAAGCTCAGTAAAGCTAGAGACTGAGCGTTGTCCTCCACATGCTGGGATGAAAATCATGGTTCATCAAGATTTTTATGGGTATAGGTTCCATACTCCTGCCTTGTATGGTTGGCATGAAATCCATGTTAAAAGCCGTCGTGATGCAAGTATTGCTGCACTGTGTGTAGAAATTCTTGCTTTTATCTCTCCTGAATGCACCTCCACTCAGTTTTATTACATAACTCCTAGTTCTAGTATTGTAAGGAGGGGATCTCTCTCCATTCTCTTCATATTATGTTCCCAACTCTCCAATGTTCAGCTACCTTTTTGAGTCATCTTTCTTTAAAGGAAAAGTGCTACTGCTTTAACTCTTCCTTGGAATGCTTTACCTAGGGAGGCTCACCTGTCACCCATGTTGATATATTTTTGGCATTAGACAAAGAGCAACCCTATATCCCAATTACATCCAAGTTGGAAAAAAAATAAAAAGTCTAGTGATACCCTAGATGACTAAGGCAAAAATCCTCCTTAAAAAACTGCACATGCAAAGGCAACAGTGGTGAAGTTTTCCTCCTCTGGTGCAGTACAATCAGTTGCATGCCTAGTTTCACTACCAGTATGTAACTGGTTGCATAAAGGAGAGCCTGTTGAGAAAAATGATGTCATGATTGCCTTTTCACACTCCCTCAAGCAAACTAGACTCTGATCTGCAAGTCTACATGAGTAATACTGTACCGTTTCCCAAAAAATAAGACCTACACAGAAAATAAGCCCTAGTATGATTATTCAAGATGCTCGTAATATGCCCTACCCCAAAAATAAACTCTAGTTAAGTGAAACCCCGCTCTCTGCCATTGTGCAGCACTGTGCAGCAACCAGACATTGATGACATGACTGTATTTGAATAAATGTAAATATATATATTTGTTATGTTTTTACTTTGTAAGAGTGGTCAAAATGACCAGATAGGTGGGGTATTAAATAAATAAATAAATATAATAAAGATGCTAAAGATGCAAAAACATGGGAAGTACAAAGGTTGCCAAAGTAGAATGCAACATTTCCTGTGCAGCAACCAAACATTGATGACATGACTGTATTTGAATAAATGTAAATATATATATTTGTTATGTTTTTACTTTGTAAGAGTGGTCAAAATGACCAGATAGGTGGGGTATTAAATAAATAAATAAATATAATAAAGATGCTAAAGATGCAAAAACATGGGAAGTACAAAGGTTGCCAAAGTAGAATGCAACATTTCCCTATTCTTTCTTTTCTTTTTTGGTATCAGAGTGTTGCACAATTTAAAATTAGAACATTTCCCTATTCTTTCTCTTTTTTTGGTATCAGAGTGTTGCACAAGTTAAAATTATGGATGTACGAGAAATATAGGTAAAAATTTAAAACAAATTAAAATGTTAAAATAGAATATTTTTGACCAGATGCCAGCTTCTTCAGTATCTTATCTCAACCATCTACTATATATTCTTTGGTATGTGTGGTGGGGCATACATTGCATGCATATAAATGCTGCATTGGTTGAATTTCTCCACAGTAGCAGAAAATTTATCTTGTATCCAAGTAGCCGCGTTTTACTTGACTATTGTTTGATCTTCCTACTTCACTTTGAAGTCTATTAAGTGACCTCCAAATGGTCCAGACAGAGTCTTGTCCTATGGCAGACATGGTGCTGGAAACATGGATCCCTGCACATCAACCCTAGGAAGCTAGTAAGGCACAAAATTTTAGAGATATTAAAGCGCCCTTAAAGTGGCCACAAAAGAGACCAATTTCTTCACCTATACATAGAGTCATAGAATCACAGAGTTGGAGAGGCCTATAAGGCCATCAAGTCCACTCCCTTGCTCAATGCAGGAATCCAGATCAAAGCAGATCTAACAGATGGTTGCCCAGTTTTCTCTTGAATGCCTCTAGCGTCATGCATTAGGACAATCAAGTGCTGAGGGGCATTCATTTATTTCAAAACAACCCATAGTTTCTCATGAGCTACACAGTCAAAGGCTTTGCTCTAATCTATATAGACTGATATTCTTCTGAAATTTCTTGGTGAACTCCAGTAGGCCAGTGGATATTTAGAATACAACAGGTATATACATATACAGCAGGAATGAGCATATACAACAGGAATTGAAATATCATTTATATTCCCCATATCCCCTAGAAGTAAGTTCAGGGAAGGCCTTTTGTTTAGTTTTTATGAGGCAAAAGCACCTGAGAATTACAACTGTAATTGTTTTATTTTTCATTTGGAAAACTACAAACGGAGTCCCAAGGAATAAGCAAGCTTCCAGAGAAACAGTGTTAATCCTTTGAATCACCAAAGCATAGCATTGAAGCTCCATCACTAGGTTGCCATCTTCTTCATTCATAGGCATCCTTCAGTCTCGAGAGACTATGGTATCATGCTCTGCATGGAGGACTTGGAACAGCGTCTAGTGTGGCTGAAAAGGCCAATTCGAGAGTGACCATCCCTTCCACACTGAGGACAAATACAATTACCTTACCTTTACCTTTACCTTACCCCATCTAGCTCCCTGATTTTAGGGAGCTGCAAACTGCATTGTATTTCACCTCTGTCTCCAGTCACACATTCAAATGTATATTTCAGCTGCAGTCCCAGCAAGAGAGATGTCTAGTAGGTAGCATCAAAGGACATGGGTACTCATGAAACAAGCATCTTCATCTAGCGAACTACAGTATACATAAATCTGAGAATCATTCTGAAAACTAGAACAGGCTACTTGCTAACATGGGGGCACATTTACACTGTGCCCATACAAATCGGCACTAAAGTCATCATTGTTGCATGAGGTATGTGTGAAAAGGGGAAGTGAAAGAGTATTCATATTCTCTAAGGTCCAATTCATGTCACACTTTACCAGGAACTTCAAATACTAGAATCACCCACATATTTGCATAGTGCACACTTTGGTCATTTAAAAAGAACCCCAGTAAAACAACATTTTAATGTGAAAGGCACTCTGATATCAGAAGGTGCCAAACCTAGTAACAAAGGAAAGCACACAAAATCAGTGGCATCATTGCTTGACTGCACTTTGAAAGCAAAAAACCTTAACAAATGCGTGGTGATGAACCGAGTTCTGTGCAAATCCTTGAACTAGAATTTATCGCAAAGTTTTATTCTATTTGTTCAGGACCCAGATGGGATGATCTTTTCTTTTCCCCTTCCTGTGTCTGATTAAAGCAGCTGAGCTAGAACAATTATGTCATTGCCTGTTACTACTTTTTCCAGTGCTTCTCTCTAAAGACAGTTGTGTTTTATGTTGAAATGTCATTGACATTGTATTTAATTGCCATTTTGCTTCTGATGTTTAGATTTTTTTTCCCTCCTTCAGTATACTGTACTGGGGATCATCAGGTCCAGTTTTGATCTGTCAAGGCCACCATCTGGAGATAACACAACACTTTAAAAAGCATCTTCTGTCGTGTCCTAGGAACCCACGAAGGCTTTTTGGGCCTGAAATTGGAACTGAAATTGGAAGAAATTGAAATTACTAATGAAAGTAAAGGGGTGTTGCCCCCCCCCCAACCCGGGAATAATCCTACATTTATTCAGGACTCCTACTGCAAAGGCGTTCATGCGCTGCATGTGTGACCGTGATTAATCGCTAATAGCCCTCGCCAGTTTCCACCCTCTAAGCGAGCATAAGCTATTGACCCTCTCATACTGTACTCGTTTCCCTCACGGCTACCACAACGAATTATAATCAGGAAAAGAAAAAGGGGCCCAAACCGCGGCTCCTCCCCTCACCCCTGCCAGAGCACCTTAGCAACAAGGGGAGGGAGGGAGGAGGGGAGGGAGCCGGAGCACGCGCGGCCGCGCCTGCGCGCTCTTCTTTCCCTCCCACCGCAGCCCCCGCAGCAGTTCGCCTCAGTGCAGGAGGTGGTCCCTTCCGGTTCATGTCGGAGCAGAGGAAGCCGGGCGGCCATCTTGGATCATCCGGGAGCGGCGGCAGCGGCGGCGGCGCTCTTCTTGCCGCTGACTGAGGGAGCAAGAGGGAGTCCGCTTGCTGGCGGCGGCCTGTTCCAACACGGACACAGAGCGAGGGGGGGGGGCTCTGTCCGACCTGTGTGGAAGAAGAGAGGGAGGGCTTTGCCCGGCCTGAGCCTGCCTTTTTTGGGGGGCGGAGGGGGTTAGAAGGGAGGCGGCGGCAGGAATTGGGACTTCTGCTGGAGAAGAAGAGGAAGGAAGGAAGGAAGAAGAAGAGGAGGGGGGCGCTAGTAAAAACATGAGAGCCGCGGCCCGGTGAAGCTGGACTGGGTTTTGGGGAGAGCGGGGAAGAGAGGCGGAGAAGCTTTATAGTTGGCCCATTGTTGCTTCCTCAGCGGAGTGCCCGAAAGAGGACGGTGGAGGCACCGAAATAGGGTGTTGTTTGGAGGGGGGCATTTCCTCCCTCAGTGGCCGCTTGGACTCTATTGCTGCGCCCCTCCTTGCCTGCAACGCTCTCCGTCTTGGAAACGGCTGCTTAATTACCCCCCCTCCCCAATTTCCCTAATCCTAGCCCTGTTCTCTCTCACATACACACTTCTGTCCGCACCCCCCCAAGGTTTTTTTTTTTTGCACTCCATGAGAATACCTCTCTTCTTTAATCCGTCGCTGCCATCTTCTAAGGATTCTAATCTGTCTGTAGGATGATCCCTCAAGACTCTCAGAGGGATACAATGCTCCTTTATCAGACTGTAATATAGATGAGAAAGAGGGGTGGTGGTGGAGGAAATATCCTACATTTCACTCCCCACCCTCCCTTTTTCTTGATGGTGGCACTCCATAACCACTATCATGCAGTAAAATCACTCTTTTTTTGTAAATATATATATAAGTATTCAGGGGGAGGAGGGTGTTAGGTTTTTTTTTAATTTTTATATAATATATAGTTGGATTTTGCCATCACAAACTGTGCTTCAGCACAAGTGAATGAAAATGTCCACTAGAACTCCATTGCCCACCGTGAATGAACGCGACACTGAAAATGTGAGTGCACTTCAGAATTGTTCATTGATACAATGTATGATTTTTCAGTAATTGAATGCTTTTTAAAATAACGGGTATTACAGTAAATTGTGGGTCTGCAGTGTAGTGCACTTTGTTTCCATTTACACGGTTTGTGTGCATGATAACACGGATTATTAGAGAGATGGTGGAGGATGTCTTGTGGTCTTTTTTCAGAAAATTTTGCCATTCTGTAAAAATGAACATTTGTATCTTGGGTGAAAGTAATCACATGCGAGCAAAGTTTGACAATTAAAAAATTAAAAATAGCTTGAGAATGCCTAGGATATGCTCAACCCTGATGTTCTTATTGTATGGCACCTGAATATCTCACAGGCTTTGTATGTTGGTAAAGAAGGTTATCAGCACAGAACTTCTTACTTTTGGTCTGCCTATAATATTCTTCTATTCCTATTTGCACTTAAGAAATCTCTCTCTCCCTATAAGCTCCTCACAGTTTGGTGATATATCTGTAGACCACAAGGGATAAGTGAACAACCAGCAGATGTTTTTGAACCTAAAATGTGTAAGTTATTAAGGATAGATCAAGTGTTAACATAGGAAAGAATGCATTTTTTTCTTTGACAAAGAATGAATTGATGACCTAGATAACATATATTTCAAGTTTGATTTGTATGTCTTTAATGCAGGCTCTGTGAAGGCAGGTGATTTGAATGTGCACCTTGGTTTTCTAGAAAGACGGGCCTTATTCCTTTTGAGATAATGTTTGCATGCTGGTTGCATTGATGTAGAGGATTATTGTCTTCTATTTGGGAAAGTGCCTGTTTGCTTTTTAGTACTCCAAAGCAGATTTGTCACATTAATAGGTGGGCATTACTTATTTCTGTGCAACTTGAAAGGGAACTACTGAAATTCAAAGAACAGTTGGTTTGTTCTCAACGTCTCTTTGTATGGAACGACTGCTGCAGGACTTTTTCTGTCAAACAAATTGTTTAGAAAAGATATGTTTATTGACATTGAATTTAAGATACACTTCTTTTTGTATTGTTGATTTGACTACAGAGTATACAGTAACAGGCCCAGCAAGGAAGATAGACTTGAAGTCTTTGAATGAAATAAAAATAAACTAAACTGATTATTGTATATTTGTGGTCATTGTGATTCACTAAAGATGCTGGAGACAAGATTACACACAGAGGCATAGGTCACTCTTCTGATAGTATTTTAGCAAAATGCTGTTGGCTTTCTATTTTGGCAATTAGTTTGGCAGTGGCTGCTGTACTGACAATTGAATTTGAGGGCAACAGTCATGCTGATTGCATTTTTTTGCAAAATGTGACCGGAATGTCATTTTGACAGTTAGGATTTGGACTTGTCAGTGATTTGGCAAGTGAAGTACTGTAAAGAAGTGAGAGTAACCCTGTTCATCTGCCAAAATGTCGTTTTATGAAAGGACTACTTAATGAATTAGAATGCCAGAGGAAGACCTGCAGAAGTGGAAATATGACAGTGGAACAATTGTCTATGCTTTGTATTTATTGAAACGTGATATCAAATTTCTCTATTCTTTTTCTTAGCTCTTGATACAACTTATAAAACTATAGGTTATATATTGTCAGTGTGCAATTCAGTTGTAGGTACTTCAATAATAGAATCTGTGTGGATTCTGGACTTCCAGAATTATGTTTTAGAGAAAATATCCAAACTTGAACACTTCATTGTAAGTCACTGTCAGTTCTGAAGTTAATCAGTACAGTAGTTTAATCATGTGGCCACACATCAGATTTAGTGTCACTTGTATCAGCAAGCTCATAGAAATTAAGTATTTGGAGACTGCCCAGTTACAATTGTCCATGATCATTTGCAGTCTAAAGTGATGGAAGGTTAGTGGTTCTAGTTAAAAATGAAGCAAAATAGATATCTGTCATAGATAGGACACATGCATGTTAAGAAATTTGCCCAGCTTTGTTGTAAAAATATAAAATAAAATTAAAATAGTTTTAGATTAATTTTAGATTAATCATATAGATGGGTTTTTTGTTTGCTTTTATGTGTTGTTTTTTCTGGTTTGGTCATGTATGAATTTTCAAATTAAGCAGTACTAGATTGGTTAGTCACAGATTATGCACCCTGACAATGTTAGTGATAGTGTGAAGTATAATTTGGATTGTCAATTGCTCTTGACCATAAAAGAGCAAGATTGCAGGAGGAACTTTAACACAAAATTGACACATGTAACTAGATCTCTATAGAATTACATAAATACAGTATTTTTATTTTCTCTTTTATACTTCAGTTGAAATGATTCTTCCATTATAACTATGGTTAGTCTTGAAAGAGCAGAAAGAGGCATAAAGTGAAAAGAACCTTCATTGTTTCTGCATGTAGTGGTCATGGGAATACTTTAATTACATTTTAGGCTTAGAATCTTCTGATTTTTGATACCAGAAAAGAGAAACAATTGAGCAAGTGCTGAATTTCCAAGGTAGCATTCAGCACAATCTATTTGCAATAGCAGTGTTTGTCATAGTTTCATATAGGTTTCTTCAGAAATGTTGCATGAGCCTAATTCTTGTCTGTGCTTGAAGCTGAAACACATTAAGTAACTTTAAAGGGGAGGCAAATCCTACAAGTCAGTGCAGAAACCATTTTTTAAAATTGCTAGGCAGTGATAGTTTCCAAAAACAAATTAAGGTTTACAAACTTCAGATGACCAAGGGCAATCTTGGTCCTTTAAGACAGAGCACTGGTTCTCATTTGTGAGTTTTGACTATTTATAGCTGCTTCAGTGTATTTTGTGAGCTTGAACCTCTGCTTATTCTCTAGCCCAGCTTGTGGTCTGATATGCTTTGTACTCCAACTGTAATACTTCATATATTTACACTTCTACTGTTATGTGAGAAGAACTTACAGAACAGCTCTCCTTTTGGGGGTTAATCACACTTCTTCAGTAAGCAGAACTTGTCAAATACAGGAAAAATATGTTGCATGGCCTTTACTGCATACAGAATACAGTACGAGGATATCCATGTCTTGGCAAGTGGCTCTGCATTATGTGCATTGAGTAATGTTCAGTGACTTGATCACACACACTTGTTCTAAATTGCAGGTAGAGTCTCCCACCTCATATCTCATTCTTACGATCAAATAGTCAGCATATTTTTCAAGATTTTTTAGTAGGTGTCTAATGCAATACATTTGCTGTATACAGCTTCGGTGAGTGGTGGGCTTCATAGTGAATGCCACTGATACAGCAATTAATCATTGAGACTACTGCATTGCTTTTGCCAAGAGGCCCATTTGTATGAATAATTTTTTAGTGACAGGGGGTTGATCATGATGCATAGTGTATGTGCTGCAATACCAGGCACCATGATTCTTTTCACACTGCATTCTTGTGCATTTCTAAAATCAGAAGTAAGGTCAGTTGCATTCAGTGGGCTTTCTTCCAAGTAAGTGTGCACAGGATTGCTCTGTCAGTCATATATTCTGGATTGGAATGAGGATCCAATCAAGGTCAGTAATATCTGGTTAGAAAAAAACTCTCACTTTGCAGAATATCTGCATGTGAATGTGGTTGTTCATATTTCACAGCCCTTGGTTAAGGATGTCCTTGGTTATTTGAAGAAATAAGTAGGGTTGTATCATATATCCCTTTAGCTTAGAGTTTGACCTTTAAAGTACTCAATTCTTGAAACTCCTATTATAAGAAGATCCTGGGGAGCTAATCTTTTGGGCAATATAGTCACTCAGTTTAAAACTGTGTTTATTTTATTATGGACTAGAAATAAAAATAAATGGTTGCCTAACATTCAAAGAATTTTGACCATTGTGTGTGTCCTTCAGGCTTCATACATAATTAGTAACAATGGCTATATGGGAATTGGACTTAGTTGGCAATTTTATTGATGATTCAGGCTTCACTATATCTTGCTCTTTAGTTGCTATATTTATACTTAAGTGCTGATGTCAGTAAGAACTTGTTTTGATCAGTGAACAAAGTCAGTGTGACTTCCACAATATAGTAAATGTCAGAGGTATTTTTTTAAAAAAATCAGTCAGTGTCTGTGAAATATGATATAATCTTAGTTATAGCTGAATAATTCTTCATACTAAAGATTACATTTCTCCCTTGTCTCTGATGGGATACACCTTTCATTCTTTATTTTGTCATAATTGACACCCCTCTTAGCTAAATATCCATGCATGTAATACAGTTTAGGTTCTTCTATATCACAGCTTAATTTTGGTATCAAAGCTAACATCCATGACTAACAGCAACAATTACAACTTTTCTTTTGCAAAATAATAGTATTACACCATAGGTATGACTCAAATAAATTATTATGATGGTTGATTTAGCAAAGCATAAGCTAAGTACAAATGTGACCATTCATTTGAGTGCTATACTAGTCTTTGGGCCTTAGAGATACTTAATATCCTTTGTCTGCCAGGGTTTAACAGTCTGTTCCCATTGCTGGCTCCTTGGCATGATGGTGGCCAGCTTTGTCACTCTTCCCCAGTCTGCAGGTTGGCTGTAGATTCGATTCTATATTTGGAATACTTGTGCTTGCCTTTGACCTACATGGTTAAACCTGTATGAGACGTATAGTTACACCAACATTATAGGAGGACAAATTCTATTCATCAGATATGTACTGATTCAGTGGACTGTGCACCTTAGTCCAAGGGTAAACGATGTATGGTCCTCCAAGTGATATTGTTGGACTGTAACACCAATCAGCCATGCCTACTGGCTTTGCTGGGTATTGCCCATATGAGTTATTGGCCAGCAGCTCACATGGGTATGTTGGGGGCATGTTCCCACCTTAGTTCTGCGGGTCAGCATTGCTGGCTTTTTTTTAAACTCTCTTGGAATCTTGTTCTTTTTGTAGTATTTCAATTTCACCCCAGTTACCTCAAACTTTTAATTTGTTTGGGTGCCGCCGCCTCCTTAATGTGGAGGAAAATTAGGATATGTGTCCAGATGATGAGCTATTTGTGGTAAAGATTATACTTGC